TACTGCTATAAAACAAATTACCCCCAGAATTTAGTGGTGTAAATTTGAGAGCCATTTTCTTTGGCTCATGATTTTATAGGTTGGGAAGTTAGAAAGGGCTCCATAAGACGGTTCTTGTTTAGAATCTTCCATGCAGCTGCAGTCACATGTAAGCTAGGACTGCAAACTTTTAAAGCCCAGCTGGTCTAAACATTCACCAAGCATGTTCATGTGCCTGGCAGTTGACACTGGCTGTCGTCGACTGAGTGTTCGGCTGAAGAGGCCAACTTAAGCACCTGTAAACACACAGCCTCTATGTGCAGTCTGACGTGGCAGCTGGTCTCCCTCAGAACCAGTATCCCTAGAACACTGCATGCAAGTGGCGTGGCTTTTGCTAATCTACCCTTGGAAGTCATAGAGCTTCACTTCCACCGTATTCTGTTGGTTAGAAGAGGCATTTGCTTATTCAAATTCAAGAGAGATAGACCCCACTTTTAAATTTTTTAAAAAAAATTCTAAAACAAAAAATAGAATTTGTTCAAGTAAAAACAAACAAAGAGTTCTCACAGGGCAAAAGGAGATCAATTAGGGATTTTTGATTCTACTCTTGGGGACTTTTCTTCAAAAAACAAACCATTGCATTACTGAAATCTGTGAAATACTTCAACGTTGGCCCAAGTCCCTTATACTTGGAGCTGGATGAGCCTGTGGGTGTGTGGTTATGGCTCTTGGGGGGAATAGGATAGTGTTCAGGATCAGGAAGACTGCCCCCCCCACACTCTGAGTACCCCTTTCCTTGGAAAGGGGATCCTCTCACTCCTCCTTCCTTGGTTTCTCGGGTTCAGACTGAAATGTCTTCAGACAGTTCTAGGAGCCTGGCTCATTGCACGGCTGACGGAGCTCCCAGAGTGAAGCAGGCCCCGTGAACCTACCCAGGGGTTGCAAGAGAGGAGGGTAATGTTTAACGAGCAGCTCTTGTATTACCATTTGGAAGAATTCTATACGGCATTCCAGCAGGTACTACAAGAAGGAGTGTGTTTATTCCTCACAGCATCCCCTCCAAGAAGAGATTTTATTGTCAACCTCCTTTTACAGATTAGAAAATTGCAGGTTCGGAGGGTTAGTGGCTTGTCCACAGTTGGCGGCGAGAGACTCATGGTTCAAACTACCTGTGTCATCTAACCCCAGGGCAAACATGAGGCAGAAGAAGTCTCTCATGTTCTCCTGCATGTCCTTATCACCTGCTTCCTCCACCCAGGACCCACATTTACCCACTGACTTCCACATCAGAACAGACCTCTTCTTGTATGTTCCAGTTCTGTGGGTTCAAGGAGAAGGCTTCCACGCAGATGCCAATGACCAAAGAGGAAGATCCCTAACACCCTAGAACAGCTTCATTACATGGGCAGCCAATGCCCCCCCCACCTTAATTCTGTGTGCCCTCCCCTTAATTCCGGGCAGATGTTATGATCCATAGAATACGGTGGAGGTGACAGTGTGCCATTTTGCAGACCAGACCTTAAGAAATTGGCAGTTTTCATTTTCTGCCTCTCGGAGGTTTTGTTTTCATTTTCTGCCTCTCGGAGGTTTTGTTTTTTAGAAATGATCTCAACTATATTGCCCAGGCTGGACTTGAACTACTGGACTCAAGTAATCCTCCTGCCTCAGCCTCCTAAGCAGCTGGAATGATAGGAATGCAGTTCCTGCCTCTCGGAAATGTTCTCTCTGGGCACTCGGAGTTGAGATGAGAAGTCTGATCACCAGAGTTTAACTCCGCTGGAGGAACCAGTTCACTCTGTTCATTCTGATTGATGTTCCCTGCTGAACCCAGGCTCCCAGTCTTTTCCTCTGAGGGGGCTAGACATTTGAATGAATGTAAGGGAGGCTGCCTTGGACTTTCCAGACCAGCTCTTCTGCAAGCTGAATACCACTGAATGACCTCAGTTGCTACTAGAAGAGTTGCTCAGACAAGCTCTGCCAGAATTCCTTACCCATAAAATTGTGAGATGTAATAAAATCATTGTTTTAATTGTTTGGCTAACTTGGAACACAATATGCAATAATGTGTTGGATTATCTCATTCAATATATTCATTATTTCAACGTTACATACTAGGAAATTTAAGATCAGACGAATTAAATAACTTGCCCAAGGTCTCCCAGGAAATGTGAGATCAAACCAGCCTTTGAACTTGAACTTGAGGAGTCTGACCCTAGAACCCCAGAGAAAAGCGTTACTTTCAGCCAAAAGTATGTATGACTATACAAGTAATAACTTTTCTAGCACTGGGACATTCTCCTGTTTGAGAGACAAGTGGGGAGATTTGGAGTCACAGGGTGGATTCTTCCCTTGGCAAGACTCAGGACAGTGGGGGCTGATTTACGTATCTTTATGTATCTATGGCTGACAGGGAGGCTGCCCATGGTGAGTGCTTAATAAGTGTTTGTTCAATAAATAAACTAACCCACAAAGGAGTAAGTGGTGAGGAGGAGCCAGACACAGGCTGGGATCTGGACAGAAGGTTCTTCCGCCACCTAGTGGTTATTCCTGGTACAGCTTTCCTGTCTATGGCAGGGGAAGAAAATGGAAGTCTCCTTTAGGGACCTTGGCTGAGTGTGTCTAAAGTCACACAGCAGCATCCTTCTGGACCAGTGGGGCAGGGCAGGGGTGAGGCCCTAGCCGAAGCCAGACATCTTGGCTCTTCAAATATCTGTGCATCTTGAAGGAGGCCGGGAGAAGAGTTTCCCCTGCCACCTGCTCATTCTGTTCCTGGTGCTGAGCATTTCAGCGGATGCTTAATAAGTACTTGGGATAGAAATTTGAGACAATAGGTGACGTCACATCCCGTAGTTCATCTTCACCTTCCACAGGAGTTTCCAAAAGAGATAGCCAGCCTGAATCAAGGATGGTTCGGAACTCAGAACTCTGCTCATTCACGGCCAACCCGCCTCTCCAGTACCCTGAGTCCCCTGCCTTTCCAGCCCTTGCTCTGGGACCTCTGGACACTGATGGCTTCCTAGTCCCTAACCCCCACACCCCAGAAGGCCTTCATGTACCCCACCCTTGATGAGCTGACAGGTATGGCTTTCCCTGGCAGTCAGGACAGGAATGTGCAAGGCCCTGGAGAAGGCCACCAAACACTATCCTCACATCAGATGGAGTCTCATTTTCCTCACCTGGAAATATCTAAATCAAAAGCATCTCCCTCAAAGAACGGCTGCAAAGCTCACAGGAGTTAGGTGTTTGGAGTAGCCACAGGTGTGTGCACTGATAATACCTTAGAGCAATTCCTAGGAAAATAAATCCATGTGGCTTCCCAAGCTCCTTCGCCAGCCAGCACACACCCTCAGGAATCCTGTCCACATATTGCACTCTAAGCTTTCACCCCAAAACTTCCCTCCGGATCCTTGGCTTCTCCCATTCCCTTTCCCTGATCCCAAGAGCAGGTAAGAAAAGCAAGAGGGCTCTGGTAAGAACAGACACTTTATTGTACACCAGGGTTGGGGAGAAGAGGAAAGAGGGGCCCTGGGGTGACAATGCCTCATTCCCCACCCTGGCTGAATGGTCCTGGCCCAGGGCTCTGACCAGCCGTGGGACACATGGACTTGAACTGATCCGAACTTGCACCAGGACCCAAAGTGACTGCCTGGTGTGTGTGCTTGGGTCTGTACAAAGCAGGGCTTTCCATGAGAAGGGAGCCTGGACCTTTTTCCCCTAGCCCAGGTCATTGGGCCCCAATGAAGGGACAG